TATTTGTAGGTCCCCCAAATTATCTAACTCTGTAATTAGAGAACTTTTTTACGAATATTGGGTCATTTTAACCCAATCGTTGCAGAAGTGTTAAAAATACTTATACAAAAACTACTCAATACTATCACAACTAATTTTCAAAACAACTTATTTTTTAACCGACTTCCAAAAAAGGAGGAGGTTATCAGTTCGTCGGAATATTTTTTTTTTTTTTTTTTTTTTATGTATGTTACCGCATAACCTTGGACCGCGTCAACCGATTTCGATAATTCTTTTTGCATCGGAAAGGTAGTGTCTCAGAGGTGGTCCCATACTATCTCGTTAAGATCCGATCAGCGGATCATGAGATATATATATATATATTTTTTTATGGGAGTTGAAGTCGGTTTTTTTTTGCTAAAAATTACTAGTCACTTACCAGAAAAACAATTCCTGCATAACTGCCAGCAACGACGAAAATTACAAAAAAAAAGTTCACAAAAGCCCAACAAATTGATGACTCTTTAGCGGTCAATAACACAAAAACGCCGCGACCACGTAAAAAGAACACGTTTTGCACAAAAGAAGCTGCTGATATATGTAGAATTACAGTCGCTTGTTTTTAACCTTTTTTGAAAGCAGGTAACACCAACACCAAAACAATTTTTAATGCTAATTATGTACATATGTACGTCATACATATGTATGTATGTATGCAGCTTTTTTCATGCGATTATTATGAGCGCAGTTCTCGCCCAGTTCAAGCACTTCTACAACTCCACTCTCTTGTCACAAACGGATCGAAAGCAAAGTGAAAAGCGCTAACAGTTAGACGTATGTACGTATGAACGGTCAAATGTACGAGCGAACGAACGAGCGTACATATGTATGTTTGATGATTGGCCCCAGGTTTACGGTGTTTTGTTTTCAATTCTCATTCTTATTATTCACGCTTTTATTTAACGAATATAGCATTTTTACGATTTTTCTTTTTACATACACTTTTATTTAAACTTTATTTTTAACTTGCTTTGTTTTGGTTTTTTTTTTTGCTACTCTTTTGTTTTTATTATACTCGTAGTGAATGAAAAACCAAAAAAAAAAATAATAATTCGAGGTTAAGCGCAACAGTTCACAAAATACAATCAAATACAGTCAATACGACTTTCAGATACGAGTACAACGGAAACGTTCAGGCCAAGTAGCTGACTGCATTGACTTTGACTGCTACCACTTACGTTCATTTATGTACATATATGCAATGGAGTCGATGATTCATGCGCAAAAAAAAAAAAACGTTATACGAATCGCCAAGAATTTTACAAGCAAAGAGAGAAAAATGCAGCTTACGATCGTGGCTAACTTTTACACACGTGTATGTATGTATGTATTTTTGAGGTTAACCGCAAAAATGACCCTGCAGAAAAAAATTATCAATTGTTAAAAAATAACCCACTTGTAGTTAGCTTTTTTGCGGGATTTCTATAAAATATATAACTTGTAGTTAGCTACAAAAAGCTAACTTGAAACTAGTTGACAAGTAATGCAGGCGTAATGAAGGGGATTATTTACTTTAAACGCGTTTCTATTTAAATATGCTGCACTTCGCAAATACTTTTTCGAATTGAGGACAAATAAAAGGAAGATCAAAATTTCATATTATCATTTTGAAGTTATGTCTGACGGAGTTCGAATATGGGACCATCCACAGCAGAATATGGAAACAAATATGAAATGTAATAAAAAAAATAAAGTAAATAAAAAAATTAAAAAATAAAAACAAATAAAAAAAAATTTTTTGTTTTTCCTATTGATATTTTATGTCCAAAAGTAGTCAGTTACAAGTTAGTTATATCAAATGCAGAGGTAAACCACCCTTGACAATTTCGCGGCCATCGCCATAGAAATATAGTTAGCTTTCGTCAAAGAAAATATACAGATAATAAGCGACTTATAGCTCCATCCTAATCAACTTAAAGTTGGCTTATAGTTAGATACATTTCCTGCAGGGCAGCACCCAACTTGGTAGCTGAGAGCTGCATACAAACAAACACAGGTATATTTGTGCGTACATGAGCTGGTCAGAAGCCTGGCCTACCAGCCAACTTTTGTTGTTAAATACCTTCCGAGTCACAACTTTGAAAACAATTTTTAGGTATCCGTCCCAATTAGACTCAACTGGAAGGAGAAATGGCCTAAACCTCGGAATGGCCGACCGACCATTCCAATACCGGCCAGGGCGTCGGACCAGAAGGCTCAGGTTTACCAGCAACTGTATTTTACAGGCCGAAGTCTATGCGTCTGATATACATACAGTTGCATGCCAAGACAATAGGCAAATAGTTGTGAAACAAAAAAGCATCTACTTATATAAATACTACATTAATTAATTTTTTTTTAATTTGTAAATAGCTGTGGTGCCATATGATGCTCCGCGGCATATAGCTTCGGGAAAACATCCTAATTTTGTTCAGACTTAAAGAAACTCCCGCGCACATGTGGATTAAAAAATACATGCGAATAAAAACAAAAATTTAATTTAGTTAGAAATTAGAAATTTTTTCAGAAAATTACTAGTTTTTGGAGGCAATTTCGTTTTTGTAAAATACGAGGAGAACATATGCGTAAGCGCCAAGCCATTTTTATTGTTATTATTAAAATGATAAGTGATGAGTGGGGTTTTTTGAAATGCACCAATTTTTTTTTCTGAAGTAGATATGTGACCATTTGAAGTATCTAATGTCATTTGGATAATTTATGCCTACCAATTGTTATGGAAAAGATAAGCAAAGGCAAACCTCTGAGTGTATTTCTGCCCTCAAAAAGCTTCTCAAAGAATTCATTTCCCTCCAGTTTGGGTAACAATATCCAGTGGAGAAGTTTTGCCAAAACCTCATCAAAAGTGTAAGCGCCGAAATATTTTTATAATTATAAAATGTTATTAATATTTATTCTTACTGAAAATAGGGGAGTCTTGTATGTCAAAAAATTGTTACTTGGCGGTTTTGGGGTCGGGGATTATGAATATGGTAATGAATTTTTTAAATTTCAAAATGGCCAAATCAAAACTTTTGAAAATTTGTTCATTCTCTCCAAAATTGGTTCAGGTAAAACAAATTTGGTTGTATTCTTGAAAATTCGGTACTCTTAAGTGATGAGTGGTGTGTTTTGAAATCCAATATGGCGGACCGAAATTTGAAACCATCGGCACAGCTCATAATATCGAAAGATTGTGAAAAACTTGTACGGATTAGGATTAGTGCGTAAGAAAACTTATGCCGAATTTCCACTAGGCATTGAATGACAAAAAATGCATGCCATTTAAAAAAATCCATGCCATGTAGAAATGAACTTAATGACTATTTTTTTAATGTAAAGACACGATTATTTTTTAATGCCCAACTTTGTCATTTGTCATTTTTGCCATTTAATGCCTAGTGGAAATCCAGCATTAGGTTTTGTGTTTCTACCGAAAAATTTTTCGTTTTGATTCGTTTCTTAAAATGTCGTAGCCCTGTAAGGCAAACAAGGCACATTATCTACGCTTTGAAGATTTGTCAGGGGAGATGGTTGCCCTGAAAATCAGATGGTTGCTTAAAACGACAATAGAGATTTGATTGCAACGTCAATCACATTTTGCAACTTTTTTGGAAGTCACCATATTTGACTTTTTAAAAATGTTTTCATTTTGGTAAATAGCATCTTTGCTATATTTTATTATATAGTTTTAGCGCTTTGGAGGAGACAGGAAAATTCGATGCTTTCCGGCTTGAAAATTGCACAGAGCGCAGCTTTTTCATTACGCGAAACAATCGGGTTTCTATAATGTGCATACGCACACCCACATACATACATACATGCATATGTATGTACATACTTATGTACGCAGTTCTTCCGGTATCATCAGACAGCTCTTGATGTCACACACCGTTAATTACATATATATGTAAAAAGTCAGTTAATTGCCTGCTGTGTAGAGACAATCAAATAGAGGTTATATACATACATACATACATACACGTTTCCATACTTTAATCAGCTTATTATTAATTCACCGCCGTAGCGCGTCTTCTTAAGTAAAATGTTAATCGAAATTCAATAAATTCTCGCAAGTAATAACAAATGCGACGGTGCGCACAGTAAGCTAGCTGCCTACATATACATATATGTACCTACATATGTAGCTAAGTATCTCGTCATTTGATCTTAGAGAGAACAACAATATTTAGCAAAAAAAAAATATTGTAAAGAAAAAATGACAACACTCCAGACCAAATGGAATTGCTAGTAAAAACAGCAAAAGCGCCAGAACAAAATGTCTAATAAAAAATATTGTACAAATACACGATCAAACATATACATTTTCATATGTATAGCACATATGTATGTATGTATGTGTGTAGTGGTGCATTCAAAACCACCTGTAGCTACAAATGTATTCTGAATATGAGAACAATATTATATAGTATATACATATTTTCATTTGATATGGGAAGATAACTAAAAGCCATTACGTATGGTTTTATTACCGCTTCACTAATAAACACATGCATTCATACATACATACATACATATGTACATACATATGCATTTGAAGAGCTTATAATAAGCCTTGAAGGCTAAAAACGCGCAATTTTTTCAGAGGAGAATTATTTTTCTAAGCCATTGCGGATGATACATGCACACATACATACATACAAACAAACAAAGCAAAAAAACAAATGAAATTAAAAAAAAAAAAATTATTCGCAAATTATTTTTGTATATCAAAAAATTTGCAACAAAATTGATTTGCCTTGTTGTTCTTTGCACTGCAAATTGCAAATTTTTTAAGCAAACACGCTATATAATATATATTTTATACTTTTCATATGCTACATAATATTTTTTTCACTAAAATGCACTTATTTTTTTTCACAATTCACAACTCTCTAATATTACCACTGTTTGTTGTAATTTAAATGCCAGCGTTGTCAAAAGTATTTATTATATTTTAATCATGTATTTTATTTTTTTTTTACTTTTTCGCCGCCGGTTTTGCGCAAATCCGCTTCCGTAACAAACACTTTGAATTCCGTTGTTCAACTGTTCATCGCTTTAACTTTAAAGCCGTTCGCTACCAAAAAGGCCCACTAAAATGATTCACTACTATTTTGCTTGTTCATATACGTGTGGCTGTGTGGCTGTGTGTGTGTTAATACAAATTTTTGTTGCGTCCAACGCATTCGTTTGTGTCTGGACTACAAACATCGTGGGCAAATTAAAACATCCGGTGGTTTGTGCATTTGCTGGGATACGGAAACTGAAAAGTATTTTTAGATCCGTTGAATCTTAACCCTGCAATAAATTTGTTATTTTGTGGTTGAATAATCAAGATAATCAATCGAGCTCTCGAAAAGGCTAAAGCTCTTCTGGTTAACTACTTGGTTTAGTTTCTCTACCTCCCCTCAAAATTTTAAATTTTTTTTAATTCAACAGAATTTTCTCTTTCATTTGGTGTCCTTATTGTTATTCCACATTGCACTGAGTTTTTTAAATAATTCTTGGAATTAATCATGTTTTTGAAACTAAAAAGTTTTTTTAAACCAAATCCTAAGGTCAGAGGGAAAAACTAAAAACGTAGTTTTTCTATACTTGGTCCACAGTTTCGTGAGTATATTGATTGCTTGGTGTGTTTCGAATTTTTTTGTTTGTTTTTGCGCACAGTGTTATTTGGTGCAGAAGGTGGTTTAAAATAAAAATAAAAAAAATACTTGGTACGCCCCTGGTCCCAACTGACTTGATATTAGCACTGTCTCCCTAAATAAAGGCTCTCATTAAAACCCAACTACCATTCCACAGTGGTTCAAAACTGGAATTCACTGGAGCCCTAATTTTTCAAACAATTTTATTTCAAAATTTGAAATGTTATATCTAAAAAAATAAAAATAAAATATAATTAACTTTTTTGGAAAAAATTTGGATATGCAATTTAATACATATAACATTAAATTTTAGTAAAATTAATTGCAAGTTCCAAGGGGTTAAGAGGTCGCGTTGGTTTTTAATATTTTTAAATAAATAAATAAATGAAATAAATGGGAAATCAAAGCGTTTGTTATATTATTAAAAGTCAACGCAAACTCTTAGCCACTTGCAACTTGCACTTTGTTATACTAAAATTTAATGATTTATAAAACTTCATACCCAAAATTTTTCTAAAAACCAAAAGAAAAAATAATTTTGCTGAAAATTTATTTATAACATTTCCAATTTTTTTTTTTAATTTTTTTCGTTTTGGGAGAACCTTACAATTGTTTTCAACTAGTTTTTATTGTTTAACGTTTTTTAACTGGAACAGGAGAATCGGTTTTCTTCAAAATTGCTACTTTATCTGCAATTTGCACTAAAAAATTTAATATAATCAAATAAAAATTTAAAAATCAGGCTCAGCTGGGCTCTTGCAAATTTGATTAGCTTTCATTCAAAAAAAAATATATATATACCTCCCTTGTATGACAACATCAAGCCGCTGAAGATCGACCCTGAATTGACAAGGTTAGTAGGCACGCTAAACTATTTTAATGATGATAATTATTTTCATTTAAGTTCATATTTGTAATATCTAATATATACTGGACTTCGAAAGAATACAACTGATACAGGTATGTACGTTTTTTTTTTTAATTAACTTTTAATTGCAATAAAATTTTCAAAGTCCAACCTATTCAACTTAATTGAAAGCAAAACTAAAAAGTTAAAAAATTGCGCACGATATTATATCTCTTCTACACTTCTTCTATACATATACATACATATATATATTTAGCTATTAATTACGCTAGCCGACTCCTACTTTTGGAGTATGATAACCTTTTGATAAAACAGAGGTGATAATTTAATAAACTATTAAATATTGTAAAATGACTGACACCAGTGTCTGTAAAAAAGGACTATCTTACTAGATTTTAAAGGGAGTATCACAAAACTTTGTAAGCGCATGCAAACCTAGTTTAGCAACGAGTTATTCTATGCTATCTATGTAACGGTAATCTAAAAGTCGTTTGCGTGTTGGCAATTTAGTAGCAAAATGGTATACTATCGACACGATCGATCAGTTGGAATGTCATGCTGTTCATATTTATGTATATATTTATTCCGCTTTTAATGGTTCAATGTGAAAAAATTTAAATTTCCATACTTAATAACTACTGAAAAATTTTACGAAAAGTAAAAAAAAAAACAAAGTTTCAAAAGTGCGCTTAATGAGTACGCCAACGTTTCCCATTCATATCAGCATGCGCAATTGACCCGAACGATCAGCGATTGCAATACTTAAAAGTGTCGTATAATTTCAAAATAATTACTAATCATTTGTTGCCGAGTAAAAGCTATTCAAAAATCTACACTTCTACCACAGCGTATAAATATTGCTGCACGCTTGACGAATTTAATTCTCTACTATTTAGCATTCTGCATTAAATATTGACCGGAAAGTGGAAATTTGTAGTTACTACTATTAATATGGCTGTCGCAAAGTGTTCTCTATTCCTGTCAATCCTAGCCGTTGCTATCGAAATTTCATTGGCTTGCGTAAGTGCAACATTTGACCTTTAAAACATCATTTGATTCAATTCGAAACATTTCAATAGAATGGCTACAAGGCGCGTATGATAAAAGCGGAAAATTGCGCTGGAGCGGATGCGATCATTACGCTAGATGACGATTTTTCAGTCAAACTCAATAAGAAATGCGAAATTGTGCCCTCAGGTTGCGTCATGAATAAGGCCTTCAATAGCGCCGTGTCGCAGTTTAAATTGCAAAAGGATGGCATTGTGCTGAAAGAGGGAAAATTCGACTTGTGTGCTGCCGCCGAACATGTGCCGAACGAAGCAAAGGATATGCTGAAGCTCTTCGGCGCCCCAGCTAGTTGCCCAGTGCCAGAGGTAAGCGCTTGGACAACTTTATACTTATCATCTAAGAGCTTAAACAGACGGCATCGTTGATCCGGATCAACTCGGGAATTAACTGCAGTTGATCCGGATTAAGTCCCAGTTAATCCCGATCAACGCTTCCGTCTGTTCAAAGCTTTAAGATAAAGAATGTACTGTCAAACATTGCATGCCACAATACTCTCATTTCGCTAGGAGAAAATCTGCGCAAACGATCACCGCGTTGACTTGTCCAAATACAAGGCCATGTTGGGTATGGCCAAGGGCAACCTAATTATGGATTCGGAGATAACTCATGATACAGTAGGTTTTTGTTTTTGTATTTTATTTTATTTTGTAGCAATATTCTCTCTCATTTAAAGGGTAAATCTTGTTTCCACATTGAGATGGAGATTACGAAGAGCTAAAGCAGTTACAGCATAATAAGCCAAATAAACACATTTGCAAATGTTTGTTGCATTAAATTAAGAAGCAAATTTCAATTAAATTTATTCAGCATGCTTTATTAAAGCCTTAGCTTAAATAAAATTAATCTCAAATTGAAATAGTGTTTATCTTTTCACTCTTAGTAAGTGATCCTTAAGCATTGCGTACATCCATTCACATTGCACATTCTGGAGGTAAAAACAATTGCTGGAAATTGTTGGTATGTGTCTGAAATCTGAAATGGCCATCGTACCTTTTACCAAAAGAAAAAATCTTTTAGGCATGAAGAACATAATCCTGGACTCTAAATTATCACTGACGTCAAATCTCCAAGAGCTCTTCTAAACATTCTGCAGATTTTGTGAATAAATGAGGAGTTGTGATGAGTTGAAGGCACAATAGATCCATTAGGTCGCACTGCGTACCCTTTATGAGCATCTATCTTTCTATGTAACTGTCACTTTGAGCTCTCAATTTACCCTACCTTTAAAGTTTTTTCACAAAAAGAAACGGAAGATGTCAGAGAAGCGAAGAAGTTAGCTGCACTATCCATGGCCAAGAACAAGCTGAAACTTGCTTCACTGGGGGTCTGTAAAACGAAAAATCGTTTGGGGAACACGTTTCTCTCCAAAAATATGGCAGAACCAGCCAACAAAAATGTCTTACATGGCACAAAGGCGACCTGAGCTGAGGTTACGAGGACGTCAGCAAATAAGGCCGACCGCTGAAAATGGTTGTAGGATGATGGCATTGCTATGAGCTCTCTAGCAACTGCAAGCGATTTAGGTGGCCATATTGCAGATAGTTAGACACTGATATCATATTTAGCGACTATACATTCTTTCCGAGATAGAAAGGCGTCCACTGACGATGAGGCAACGGAGTGGTGTCACACAATTTACAACACTGGCAAGGTGAAGCAATTAAGGTAACTAACTCAGCTGAAGTGCTCAAATTCAGGGTCTATGTGAGCTATTTTCCGTAGGGAGACAATATCCTAGGGCATGTTGAGCGTCAAAATGTGGATTTACGTGTATGCAGGTGAAGGGTTCTCAACAGGTTTTATAGAGGATCCACCACTTGGCTTACTGTAGCTGTCGACCTATTTTTCGCCGAGAATCACGACTGGCTAAGATTACTTACCTGTCAACAATGGCTTTAGGAAGGTTCAAATACACAGACTATGGCCCTCGGGCTAACACCGATACCTCCAATATACCTGAAGCATTCTGTGCTGTAAAAAATACAGACGATCAACGGGTGGACTGGGGTGGAAGCGATTATCTCATATGCAGAACTTGCTCCACAGTTTGGTCTGTGTGGTCATACCCATTGGAAAACGGCTTGTTGGAGTGCGATGAGACTTCCGAACCTAAACAGCATGCTAAGTGAAGGTTTCAGGGGCCGCCTTAGTACTTTAAACCATTCATTAATGACCCCAGTTGAGTAGCAAGTAAGTTAAGACTAAGCCAATGAAAGTTACAGCTCCTCCGTTCGATCCAAACTTGAAGATGGAAATTACTGAATTTAATTTATTTGGAACTAGATTTCAAATAGGTGTACCAACCATATTCGCCATTGCAGTCTTTGATCGAAAATGGCTTAGTAAAAAGGCGATTGGGCCGTTATAAACATCATAAGAAAAATATGAAAAATTTAAGAATAACGTTCGTCGAGCACCTTGCTGGAGTAAACGATGGAGGGGATGCCCAGCAAGGGAAAGAATATATGTATGTATTAGAGTACTTTAATAATTCACAGCCAGTCGTACATCTAACAAAAATTTATAATTTAGTAGAACATAGTTGGGCTTAATTTTGACCTGTATATATTTATTTAAGAATACAAGTACTTATTTCATTGCTTTGATTAGAATGGCAATGAATCCGCACGGGGAGCCAAAGGACAGTCATTGCGGCAGAGCGGCTTAAATCTGTTGAATGTCAAATCTATTTTCTGGGTTTTCCTTGGGAATAGGGAAAAAATTGTAAACGATTGCGAGACTATAACTAGTTGGAGCAGATATGTACATACATCTGTACATAAATGCAATCTATAAAAAATTATAATAGCAAACTTTACTGAAAAAAATTATATGTATTTACTTAGCGCGAAAGTGAGTTATTGGGCCTTATGAATAAAAACTACAAATATTTTTTTTTTTTAATTTCAGACCTTTTACTCTATTTATTCAAATTAATTTAATTAAAGGGTCTGAAATTTTAAGAAAAAGGAATTGCTTAATTTTTATTTATGAGGCCCATTAGCTATTAATAAATAATACGGTATTTAGATTTCTTTTCTGCACATAAAAGGTTTTGTTTTTTTGGCTAGTCCACCGGTGCCCGAAACTGTACGAAACTATCCATTTTGTGTTTCTTTGCTTGATTCTCGAGCTATTGAGAGCCGCTTTGAGATAGTAATTTTTGTTTTTCGCCAGCTGGAGATTGCCCGGACTATTTATATGCATACTGTGCTGTTTTTCTTTGATTTATAACGTTATTATGTTCGCTGCCACTCGAATATTTATTATTAATATTTTATGCGATCTGACGTTTAGTTTCGGGCACGAAAATGGGTTCCCGTGCTTTGCGGCACTTTCTTCACTTTTGTTAAATCATTTCGTACTCACGCTTATTTGACCGAAACTAGCCCGAAAATGTATAAAAAAAAACATAGTTTTACATTACCGATATTTACTGCTACTATGAACCACAATGTCGGCAAAGCTATCACTTAAAAAAAAATAAGTATGCTGCAGTAGGCAATCGATCGAATTTTGTTAGAAAAATAGTAGATACGCTATTTTCGTAAACCATCGATTCCTAGAGCATATAACCTTATCTAACCTTACCTCAGCTACGATATAACCACCTTTATCGAAACATACATTTGCAAACGATGCGCAAGCAGCTTACCCTTACAACGGAACAGATCCATTATCCATGACTACGACTCCATGAAATAATTTGAGGGCGGAAGTTACTGGAAATGGGGAATCAACACAAATTAAGCACTTGCATAGGAACTCAATGCTTTTGATAGGGTACACACAGTTGTAGAAAAGTATGAATTCATAAATCGATTAGGTTTTATTTACGTAAGCAAAATAAATGATTATAATTTATAGACGAACGCGAAGACACGTTAGAATATCAACAAGCAACGATACGAAAAACAAGACAAATACAGAAACACTTCACTGTTGCAATTAGCGCAAACACACAATTTTTTCAGCATATTCTACAACTATTTACTTATAACATTTAAATAAAAGTGTTTTATACTATGCAAAATTCACTAAATGCGCGCAAAGGAACGGAAGTTTCTTCATATCACTAAAGGAAATGTCAAAAAATGGCGAGAGATAATCAATCAGCGAAGTATGTATGTATGTACATATATATCTACGATGACAGCTTGCGTAATAATTTATACTTTTAATATTTATTATTTTCCCAGCGGATTGATTCTTTTTTAATCAACTTAAGTCTTTTCAAAACAGATAACTTTCTATGTCCCTTTCAACAGTACGCATTTCCGGTTTATACTGAAAATCTACAAACTAAAATGTCTCTTCAATATTATTGGCATTTCGCAAGTCTCCAGCAACTACACTGTGCGAAAAGATTGCGCAATAATATCAAATGCAACCTTGCTAGTTTTGTTCTCCGGCTGTCAAAAGGCACACAGGAAACATGGCGCTACAATTTTTCTAGTTTTGTGGATTGTGCAAAATATTTTCCTTCATTTTCTCAAGTTTAAAGTGCAATTTTATAAATAAAAATTGGTGAAAAAGTTTTCCAACCAAAAATAGTTTGGGTTTGCAACAAATTGAAGTGGCCGCGAGTGCTGGAAATTGTTAAAATTTTAGCGTGAAAAACGCGTCGTGAATGGGGATAGAAAAATATATATCAATTGGTGGGGTAAAGAGTGAAAGGGTGCTGCAAGGCAAGTGAAAATACGATAAAGGGTTGTCGGGTCGTGCCTGCTCCTGTGGTGGAGCGTTGAAATTCTCACTGTTACATCGTTCGCAAATGCACAACTATCAACAAGAAAATGTCAACAAAAAGAAAAAATAAGTGAATTGCTTGCTACTCACGGGGAGTAACGAGGAAAACGCGCGTAAAGTGCTATAAGAGATTCGATTTTTTATTTATTGTTTTGTTTATATAAACGCGTGTGCTAAACGCAGTTGCAACTAAAAAGTTTTTTGCATATCGATATAGCAAACAAATGAGCTAAAGAAATGAGTGCTGACACATTTGATGAAGAATTTTTCGAGACACGCTTGGAGGCGCTCAAAGATACACAAGAGGGCATACAACAGTTGTCGGCATGGTGTCTACAACAGCGTCCACATCATAAGAAGATTGTAACCTGTTGGTTGAATGTATTCAAAAGAGGTATTTGAACATTAATATATTTTAATAAAATAGCTACTCGAATAGCCTGATTGTTCCAAAACAGAGATGGATGGGTATCATGTAAGTCAATAGCAATGTAAATGCAATTGACAGTATAGTGACAGCGTAGGACGCGAAACCCAAATTCACGTTCCCACGACAGTCCCCAGTCGACCCAAATTATATCTGGCCAACGACTGTCACTCCAGCAACACTCCCCAAAAAGTTTTTGGGGAATTTGTATGCTGCTACAACAACAACAACAAACCCAAATTCATTTTTCAGCTAGTTGTGTCTTAAAGTCTATTTCCTAAGTTGACATGGAACTACTCGACGAGTTCTATTTTTATTATGCATTTAGAAATTCTATTATTACAATCCTAAAATACGTATTTATATCTTTTATGAATAAAGTACGCGTGGAACACAGACTCACTCTATTCTATTTGGCAAACGATGTCATACAAAATAGCAAAAGGAAACGCTATGAATTTGTGGAAAGTTGGGCCACAGCGCTACAACGAGCGACAACTATGGTGAGGTAAGTATATGCACGCACATTTCTACCTTAATGAATTTTAAACTTAATTCATCACCTTCATTCCAGAGATGAAAAGGTAAAAGGCAAGATTTTGCGTATTTTCGGCATTTGGGAACAGCGCGACATTTACAGTGAGGAATATATAAGCGATTTATCTGGCTTGCTTAATATA